TGCAATTAAAAACAGTACATCAGCCTATTAAAGGCATTTAATTGGAAAAACTAACACAATATGAGGATTTAAAGATCGAACTGCAGACTCTGGCACAAGCCAGTAAAGGTGATCCCAGTTGTGATTGGCACACTGGGTACAGTGCCTAAAGACCTTGGCCTGTACTTGAAAAGAATCAGCACTGACAAAATTATGTCAGCTGCAAAAGCCCCCCCTATTCCGATCTGCACACATTATTCACCGATACATCACACCGTCCTAGACACTTGAGAAGTGTCCAAGGTGTGATCGAATACAAAAGCCAACATAGTGATCTTGTTTGCTGTGTACTAATCTTGTTGTGTATCAAACAGCAGCAGCAACAACAACAACAACAATAATCTTGCTGTCCACAACTTGGAACTTCCCTCATTTAGTAGTAAACCCTACTAAAAAAATTGTAACCAACCTTGCTTTCTACCCAAGGTTTACTACCTTGCATAAATATTCAGATTCTATTCCACATCTCTTACAGGTAAGGAGAAATAATGGATTTGGGCCAAAAGGCATCTACGGTTTGGCACTGTACCCGGCAGCTAGCTATGAAAAGTTCTCCTTTCAGTTTCAAGCAACCAAGAAAACTGATTAATGTTTGTGGAATGTGCCGGTTACAGAATAATCCAAGCACAGTAATATTTTGTATTATATTAGCTGACATGTTTATTATAAGTACAGTAGCCATTGTTGCTACTACTACTATCACTACCGTCCTGGTGAATGTTGTATTTAGACACTTAATACACACAATTAATATTTTATTTGTGGAGCCCCCAGTGGCGCAGTGGGTTAAACTGCTGAGCTGCTGAACTTGCTTGCTCAAAGGTTGCTGGTTCGAATCCAGGGAGCAGAGTGACCTCCCGCTGTTAGCCCCAGCTTCTGCCAACCTAGCAGTTTGAAAACATCAAATGTGAGTAGATTAATAGGTACCGCTCAGGCAGGAAGGTAATGGTACTCCATGCAGTCATACTGGCCACATGACCTTGGATGTGTCTACAGACAACGCCGGCTCTTCGGCTTAGAAATGGAGATGAGTGCCAACCCCCAGTCAGACACGACTGGACTTAATGTCAGGGGAAAACGTTTACCTTTACCTAATATTTTAATTTAAATTCCATCATGGAACAATTATTAGTTTATCAAGGTTGAAGAAAGAGCAGAAAGAGGACATTTCCTGCTTTGGAGCAAGTAAAATGTCAGTTTTCTGATAATATTTGTGATGTTACACTCATATGCACACCATGTAGACTCTTACTATACAGTTTCTAGGAAATAACTAGTCATAGTAGTTTCCTTTTGTCACATTTGTTACTTCACAGAGTGTGATTCACTGTTAAGTACAAACTCTTAATCTTCAGGATTTTTCCACAAAGTTGCAATTCCCAGATGTCCTCCTAGCAATTTTCTGCAGGGTGGGTCTCGCAGATGAAGTGTGGTGACTCTTCACAAAGTCTGTTGAATCAGAATTTATTCAAGATGAGAGACATCCAAATCCTATATATTCAGAGCCAGTGATGTAGTGGTTTAAGTGCTTGACTAAGACTCTGGGAGAGAAGAGTTTGAATCATCGTTTGAGCAAAGATATTTCCCGGGTAACCTTGGGTTCTGTAAATGTAAGAGGAAGCCAATAGCAAACCTTAGGTGATCCTTGTCAAGAAAACTCTTAAGACAGAGTTACCTTAAGTCAGTTGACACCAAGGCATAGAACAACCATACTAAAATACCCTCGGTTATCGAAGGACCAGAGGTCTATTTGTGCTCCGCAGTTACAAGTTATATAGCACTGGATTCATATTAAAAAGCATTATACACCAGTTAAATTACATCAGATGGATAAGAAGCAAAGTAACTATTGCCGGAGATGTGGTATGTACAAAGGGGCATATTTTCATTTATGGTGGGAATGCCCACAGCTGAAGAGTTCCTGGAGCAATATATTTAAGGAAATAGAGGGAGCACATCCTTGTTGATCCTCTTGAATCTTTTAGCACACCTTCCTTTTGAGTCATGTGGCTGATATGGGACTTGAATGTATTGCTTTCTGGTCTTTCTAGGTTGAAAGTCATCAACTTCGCTGGACTGAATGCCATGTCGTCTGAATGCCCAATCACTGTCTCCCAAAGCAGCTACTATACTCCCAACTCAAGAATGGGAAACATGTTGGTGGACAGGAAAAAAAGATTTAAAGATGGGCTTAAAGCCAACTTTTAAAAAGGTGGCATAGACACCAAGAACTGGAAAGCCCTGGCCCTTGAGTGCTTTAACTAGAGGTCAGCTGTGACCAGCAGTGCTGCTGAATTTGATGAGGCATGATTGGAGGGTGAAAGGGAGAAGCGTGCCAAGAGGAAAGTGTGTCCGGGACCGCCTTCTACCTGGAAACCGATGTCCTCACTGCAGGAGAACATGTGGATCAAGAATAGGGCTCCACAGCCACCTGTGAACACACTGATAGTGCTAAGACACTATATTTGGAGGTCAATCATCCTCGGGCTACAAGGGATTGCCTAAGTAAATAAATAAGCAAAATGTTGCAAGTAATCTAAGCCTTCTCTTGTTAAGTGCCATTTTGCATGGCATTCAGTGTTTGAAATTGCTGTTTTAATAGTTTCAAAACTGAATTCTAGGATCATTTCAAAGTGTTTAAGGAACTTTAAGAGGATTTTAGTACATTTTAAAAATGATTTTATCTTTATATTGCTTTAATTGATTTTTTTATTTGTTCATCTCAGAAAGCAACTCAGAAATGCTTTAAATTAACAAAAACAAGGCTGGGAATTTGAGGGAAATGGAGTCCATACTGAGTGTGGTAAAATGCATTAAGGTCAACATACCAAACGGGTCAGGAACCATCTCACCAGGCATATTCTTTCTGCCACGCATACATTGAGTTGGTTTTTCTTGCCCTTCACTTTTTGTCTCCAGTTAAGTCGCCTTTGCTTGGACTTTGCAAGTAATGTATGTATGGACCAACTTGGACTCTCCAGATATTTTGGATTTCAACTCTCACCATTCCTAACAGCCTCAGGCCCCTTCCTTTCCCCCCTCAGCCGCTTAAGCGGCTGAGGGGGAAAAGGAAAGGGCCTGAGGTTGTTAGGAATGGTGGGAGTTGAAGTCCAAAACACTTGGAGAGCCCATGTTGGTCCATACCTGAAGTAACGTTTCTAAATGATAGCTTCAAGCAGAAGCTCTGCTATTCTCAGCCAGAGAAAACTGTGTAATTCTTCCCAATGTGCTGTTTAGGGTGAATCACAAATCAAACTAAACACGAGTAACACAGTAAGAAAAAAATTAATGATTTTATTTTTTTTCTTTAGTTCCGTTGGTGGCCTGAGGTGCTAAAATCTCAACACCAACAAAGCAAGTGTGCATAAGAACAGACAGAATGAAATGCGACCAAATGGGAAGTCAAAGGGGATCAAGGTTGGGATTAGGGGATGTCTTAGACATGGCAAAAAAAAAATAAAAATACAGTACGCAATTTCCTGTTACACTGCACACAGGCCAACTAGAAAACAGTCTGAATATCAGAGTTCCCACCTGTCCCAAGGGGAAGATACCACATTAAATCCCTTCATTTGGACTGGATTTCACATACATACGTCTATACATTTTTTAAAAATTGCAAAGCCATCAGTACATAACCCCTCCCAGACTCCCTCCCCATCTTTTCATATAAAGCAAGCTGTTTAATTTTTTGTATTGCAAATCACATTCCCAATTCACAGCAATTTTTTTAAAAACTATAGCAGGCTGAAACAAACAAACAAATTGCTTTCCTTCCAGAGTTCAAATGTAAACATTCTGTTAAATACATTTTTTAAAGATCCAAACTGAGGGAGTGGCAGGTTGGGTTTTGCTATCTCCTTTGCCTATATATAAAAAAAGGTTGTCGTAGATGGCCATGCAATTCGAGACTTAATTTTGGATGCTTAAAAACACTCTGGATCAGGATGTATTAAAAAACATAAACGGATTAAAAACCCAGAGGGTGCGACAAGTGTGCTTGTTACTTCTGCATTAGCACCACCTCCTAAACTGACGGCCTGACACCGCATTTAAAACACACTGACTTTAAGGGTGAGCATGGTAAACACAAAAAAGTACATGAAATACTGAAACAGCGAGAGGACATGCAATCAATGTTTATGATACCACCACAGGATTTCGAAAAACTGACTCATCTGCACATTTATGTTTTAGCTGCTCAAATTATATTGGAGTTATTGGGTGGACAGAAATGAGAAGTTTTGAAGCTGAAATGTGCTTCCTCTTCTAAGAGAGGTTGCAATCTTCATTGCACAAGTAGCCAACGCTAAGCAGTCTAGGAAGGAAGAATAATGTGTGTCTAAAGTTCTCCTACAGAAAACTGTGCCCTTGGACTACAGTTCCCATCACTCCCTACAACTGATTGTGCTGGTTAAGGGTGAAGAGCGTTATAGCTAAAACCACCTGGAGAGACACAGTTCCTATCTCCTTTACAGCAATACATTCCAAGTATAAAATGCATGAAGATCAGCTTTCAGAATAGTAGTATAACCCAGTTTCTTCTCAATGGGTACCTTCCAAATACATTAGTCTGCGATAGTAGCCAGGAAATTTTGCAAGTTGCAACACATGGGGAAATCACTCACTTGGCCAAAGTGGTTGTATACCGTTCTCTGCCTTTCACATGATAAACACCGAATTATAACTAGTTGTATAAATGGCATCTTAGACACACAGCAACTTAATGTTCATTCCCAGCTTTTACTATAACTTGTATTATATTATATTTTGCCTTGTATTAGTATAGCCCAGGTATGGGCCAACTTGGGCCTTCCCTCCAGATATTTTGGACTTCAACTCCCACCATTCCTAACAGCCTCAGGCCCTTTCCTTTCCCCCCTCAGCCGCTTAAGCGGCTGAGGGGGGAAAGGAAAGGGCCTGAGGCTGTTAGGAATGGTGGGAGTTGAAGTCCAAAACATCTGGAGGGAGGGCCCAAGTTGGCCCAGGCCTACTATAGCTCTTCTCTGCTGGATTTAAATGATAACTGAGGTTCCAACAACATATTCCTTCTTCTTTCCTGTATATTACGAACAGGTGAATTCACAAGCTCATAAATCCTTCATCCTCCGATGTAATGTTGGCAGTCTCTCATTATTTACCAGAATCTTCTTTACATCTCACTATTCAGCAAGATAGCATAGATGAGAAGCCTTGTGCATGGCAAAATGCAAAAGAAGACAGAGCTCTCACGACTTTTAATTTTGGCAGATTTAGCCTTTGTGGCTACTTAAGCTTGTTGAATACCGTGTTCTACATAAACATTTAAGGTCCTCTTTTCCCTCCTAGTCGTAATATTTTGACCAGAACTAAGATAGAAACACTTCCTGGCTAGCTGAAAGTGGAAAGAACATAAGCATTGACGCTAGATATGTCTAGTTTTCTGGAATTTAATTTCTATCCCACCACCCACAGATAGCTGTATGACGGCACTCCCGAAAACACACAGGCACCTTACCCTTATAATACATAACAGTCTGATCTTGAGGGTTTCCATGGAAGGAAAGGGCTCTATTGATGAACGTTGCATGATAGCAGCCAAATTCATTTTAATTAAGGCCTTCAAAACATGAAAAGAGGAACCTACAACTGACAACAAGAAGAAAGACCAATGCTCCAATGACTTTATCTAGCAATACCTGAAGTCAGAGGCCCCACATCTTTAAGAACTGGGTAGGAAGAAGGGTGTCAGCAGAAGTATCTTTTCTTATTGCATTGCTGCAATTGCTTTGTGTGTGTGTGTGTGTGTATGTCAGGAGCAACTTGAAAAACTGCAAGTCGCTTCTGGTGTGAGAGAATAGGCCATTTGCAAGGACGTTGCCCAGGGGACACCTGGATGTTTTACCATCCTGTGGGAGGCTTCTCTCATGTCCCCATATGAGAAGCTGGAGCTGGCAGACAGGTGCTCACTCTGCTACCTGAATTCAAACCACCAACCTTTTGGTCAGCAGTCCTGCTGGCACAAGGGTTTAACCCATTGCTCTACTGGGGGCTCTTACTGTAATGGTGAGGAAAGCTGAATCTGCTGAAATTCTCCTTCTATATGATTACTAACACAGTAGCCCTGTTCTGCATTGAACCTTTGATGCTATAAAGCAATGGTTCTCAACCTGTGAGTTCTCAGATGTTTTGGTCTTCAACTCCCAGAACACCTAAAAGTTGGTAAACTGACTGGGATTTCTGGGAATTTTAGGCCAAAAACATCTGGAGACCCACAGATTGAGAACCACTGCTACAAAGGAATCAGTTCAGAAATCATCCTTTTTCTTTTCAAAACTGCTTGTTAATCCTTTTAACTAATGGAGTAAAAATAAATAGCATCTTAAAAAAACTAATCCCACAAAGAATTTTAAAAAATTAAGAATGGGACATTTTAACAGCTGCACATGGGTATTTTTGAGAAGATGATGGTAAAGGACATCGTGTGCTTATAGAACATCTCAGCTGGTGATAGGCAAGAACCCATTCTTTGTTATGTCCTTTTTGCGCTGTTACACTGGGAAAAGACCACTTCCCTTCCCAAGACAATATGGAGATCAGGAACAAGAACCAGTGGGATTTGTGCTAATTATTTCCTTGGAGGCAGACCGCATGATATTAACATGCTTCACTTTTGCATGGCAATGTCACTGTTCTAGTCACAGAAGCTTGTCAGCATTAGATAGAGCAAGCACAGGTTTATCCAAATGCAGAAAACATACAATAAAATTTGGGATGTGCAGGAAATAAATCTGTCTTCATTGCTTTCACATTCTGAGCCTCGACTCAGTGAGGCCACAGAAGTTGACTGAGAAGCCACCCTTCAGTGTAGTGAAGGTTCAAGGCCAAAGCAGAACCAATTGCCTTGAACTTACAAGCATCTAATCTCCAAGCAAAGGATTGCTGCCTTGTCACGGTGCTGGAGCATAAGCACCTCAATGATACCACGAGCGAAACCATGAAGGGACACCCAAGATAGGACGGTCATGGCAGAGAGGTCAGACTAAGATCAAATGTAGTGTTGTAACAGTAATGCCATTAATAAGAACTCTAATAAATAGATAGAAAGAAAGGGAGATCAGCAAATTTAAAGCAAACACAGAGGTTGGGGGCTGCAGCAGGCACACAGATACACCACTCGCTCATCTGCTCATTTCTTAAAAAGGTACAAAACCAAATTTTCTTTCAAGTATTAAAAATAAGTTAATGGACATTAAAGGGTCTAAAGTGACTAAAGGGAGAGGGGTAAGAGTTCTGCTTCATTTCCAACGTGCAAAAAAGAAAAAAAAAACCCTCCCACCCCCTAAAACACAACAAGATCAATCTTCAAGGATTGGAGGGGGGGGGGGGCAAAGTTGAAGCCAGGGGCTTTCATCCAAGAGCTCCCTTGAAATGCTTCTCAATTAAACTATGTTCATAATCGGTATGTTCCAGTGTCAAAATGAGCACAAAGTTCACAACAGAGCAGTCTCATGACAATGGAGAAAGGGGAACAGTCCTCTTCAGTCCAGAGCATGGCATGAAAGAGAGTGGATGGCCGAACACGGACCCCGCTTCAGAATGATGGCAACTCATGGAGGCTGCAGTGATGAAAGTAAGCCCACCTGAGCCTGGAGAAACTACAAGGGGTAAGTATTTCAAGTCAATTAACCTTCCAAGTTTCCAGTCCTATCTCCTCCATGCCCAGACAATAATGGCAGCTTCAGGCTTCTTTGGTGAGGAGAACTTTGAACATGTAACACAAGGTGCTCTGGAGCAGTAAATAGTTTGCTCTTTCAAAGGTTGCTGCAAGGTGATGTCTCAACAGAGAGCAGCTACTTCTCTCTCGTGAGTTTAAACAAACAAACAAAAATAAGAACACGGCTACCTGGGTAAATATGAAACAGATAAGCTACAGACCACCTAGATTGGTTAACGTTAAAAAAATCTCTTTTTTTTTAGCCTCTCCCAGAGGTCACAAAAACTCAATGGCCTCTCACGCAGGTCCTTGAGGAAGGCACGCAACCTCCAGCCCTCAACTCAGAGTTGGGCTTGCAGACCTCACACAGTCCTCAGCACCTTTAGGACCAACCCCTCTCAGCAAGAAGCAGCTGGTTCAAGCGGTCAGGTGCTGCAGAAACCCTCAAGAGGTTCCTGCATCAAGACATCACTTCCATCCAGACAGCTCTGGCCAATGTGGCAAATGCCAGCTGGAGGATTCAGATCAGCAGCTAAGTACGGTGCAGAGCTCAGGACCAGTTCAAGTTAAATCCCTTGGATAGCATCACAGCCTCCAGATCCTTGTCTTCTTCCTTCTCACGGAGCCGCTGCTCTTCCAGAAGGGCCACAAGAGAATCTCTCTGCTCTACCACTTCTAGCATTTCATTCAAGATTCTCTTTTCCTCTGAGAGCTCATCATCTGTCTTCAGGTGATCTACAGAGACAGAGGGAGGGAGGCAGACTTGTAAAACACATCAAGGGACTGAGGTGAGGGCTACCTCAGGGAATGGGAGTGCCCCTAAAACGCTCACCTTCTACTGCCATCCTCTCCCGAAGCTCTTGCTGCAGCCGGCTTTGTCTGTCCTCAAGCTCCAACTCCCGAGCACTGTAAGAAGAAACAGAGAATGGCTGCTATTCTAGCTTGGAGTTATTTAAGCAAGACTACCATTACTAAATATAAAATCCCACAAAACTCAGGGAATGTTGAGTTTGAGACTTTCTGCAGGATTTCAGCTCTAAATATGAAACAACCATTCAACAATATTAAAATATTTATGTTTTAAAAGAATTTTTTTCTGATTACATAACCCTTTGTTTTCCATCTTATGAATTCATTTTGTAGGATGGTCAGGAAGGCTTGCAAAAAATCAAGAAGAATATGTCAACTCATTTTTGCCTGTTCCATTGTCTGACCTTTTTTTTTTTTTTTTGGACTTTTCCGGAGTTATGAACTAGAGAGACCGAGAGAACTTAGCCGTGTCAGCAGCCCACTGTTTTAGCTTTCAAATATTTATTTTATGCTCCTCTACTTTGATCCTCTTTTAGAGTGTCTTGTTTCCTCTGTATCTCGGATAGGAATAGTGCAGATTGTGGGTTCCCTCCAAGCTAGGGGAGGGGCAGAGATGGCTACACCTCACATCTTTTTTCACCTGTTGGCCAAAACATATCTCTAGGCAGGCAGCCACTCATTTTGTCTCTATACCCACTCAATATTAGCCCTAATAACTGGGTCATATTGTGAACATGGAAAGCTGCATCATACAGAATCAGTCTTCTGGTCCCTTTGACCATCTTTCATCACTGGAACCAAAGCGAAGGGATATTTCTGTTCCAGAACAGGATGGCTCCATGAAGGCAGGTTTTTAATCTTTTGCCTCTGATCAGGAAGATCTCTCCTTACTCACAATATCATCAGCTCCGACTCATAGCGCACCAAGGCATTTTTCTCCTGCACCAACTTGAACCACTCTTGCATCAGTTTGGGGTCATCCTTCTTCCCCATGCCTGCCAAAAGAAGAAACTGGGTCAACTTTTAGAAAGGCTGTCTGTCATTTCCACAAACCCACAGCAGGCAGGAACAAAAATGGGGGTGAAAGGGGCAAAATGTGCAAAGAAAGCCGAGCAAGATGCTGCCAGAGCGCTCCTCTCATCAGGCACTGCTTGTTTAGTTCATCTACAGCACGTAGGACAGAGGATCAGCTCCTCTGAAAATGTTTTCACCAGATCCAATCATCCTGAAGCATGTTCTCACACTATTCTCATCAGGGTACACAGCCAAAATCACTATTTTTGTTGTCTCTTTTACTCTCAATTGAAATAAAATTAATTAATAGTTAATTTTTGATCTTCTGGACTGGGTCCAATACAGCCTATCTTTCAAGTTATACATTACGCTGAAAATTATGCAAGTGGCAATTATGTGATGCATAAGAGGCTAGTTGTGCCAAAATCTTACATCATTCGGGTTTTTTTATCTAGCATTTAATTGTGGAGTGTTTAGTTGACAGAGCGCTGAATGAATTCACCATCTACAATTCCTCGCTGAGTTACTTCAGAGCCAATTTTAATCACCTATATATTCTTATGTCCCTGCAACGTGGCACTCTTTTCTTTATAAACTGTCTATATTATCTTTATGACTGTTAACTGCTCACTCTACTTATAGTTCCTGGACTTTCCCATTAATACACTTGCTGCTTCTTGATATTATCAGTTTCACTAAGCAGCTCTGCTGGCGCCCCTCATTTGTTTAAAAAAGCAAATCTGCAATAGCATATATGCAGTTCTGTCTAGTTTACTATCTCCACACTATTCTTCCATAGTAGAAAGGTACAAATAAGCTCACCATGTGCCAACATAAAAATACAGGAGAAAGACCATCTTTTATCAAGAATATCACTCAAAGCTAAGTCAAAAATAGAGTAATTTTATTGTCATTGTACATTGTACAACGAAATTAAATGCCATCCCTAATCACATTATACATACATGTAAATTACAAAACAAAACACCCAAAAGCCAAAGCTGTCCTCAATCGGCATGCCAATCAACAGCACAACCTGAAGTAATATCAAAACCAGCTGTTTTATGTGGGAGACAGAATTTCTAGAACTTAAAGAACCATTCAAATAATCTATGAAAACAGAATGAGAGCTCCTCTGTTTGGTGTAGTTTCTGGAAAAAACCCAGATCAAATGCAAGTGAACCCTGGTAGGATTATGAGGGGCTTAGCTTAGCCATTATGCCCAAGGTTTGTGGTCGCTGGATGCTTCCTACATCAAATTAGATTCTATTTGCTTTTAGCTAAAGTGTCTATATTGAAAAAAGTTTGAAACTGGAATATCAAAGGTCACTGCCAAGCTATAGAACATTACTGGTAGATTAATTCCTACTTCTCATAGGAAGTTCTTCTCCCGTCTATACATGAACAAGAAGATTGCACAAAACTGATAATGCAAAATCTCTGTCTAGCTATGTGTGACATCAATATTAAAAGCTGCTCCAAGTTATTCCAAAATACAAATGCTCCTGGTAGGGTCATGTAAGGCCACAACAGGGATGGTTATCTGTCAGGGCACATCCAGCTGCCAAAGCATGTTTGTCTGGTCCTTGGAAATCATGTTAAATTATAAATAGTGGCATAGCTGTATGTGTTCTGTTTCAGTTGTACAAAAGAGAAATGTTAAGATATGTTTATATTCGGGAACTAGCCATTATTTGATGGCACTAATTATTCTTGTTATTTGTGAATGTGGAGATGAACTGTTGCACTTGTAACCAGCATTAAAAAAATCCAGAGGTGACCCTGAAACAATGCAAGCTAATCATCCCAGTTAAATTATTTTGAACCTAAGCCTTTTTATAGAGGTTCTTTGTAGTCGTGTTTTCACCCTTATTTCCTAGAAAGGGAACCAAAAAGAAAGCACAGGGAACCAAAAACAGTCAAGGAACTACAAGAACTCGATAAAATCAAACTGTTGCAAAAATTTCACCCCGATGCATTGCATATCTCTGAAAATGGTTGTATCTATCCATACCTCAGTTCCAATCATACCTTTCTGAGCATCTCTGCACAATGTGCCCTCTTAGCCATGGTTGAGAGAGAGAGAAGAAGCTTATACAACATGCAGATGCCCTCTGCTGTGGAACCATGAAAAGCACTCTCCCCACCCTTTCTACTGTGAGGTGAATCAGAGAAAGTCTTCCAACCAAGACAGCCAAATACATGTTACAATGGATCTATGAAAACTTTTGTCCATTTTTAGACAGCCCATGAGAAAAGAGAGAAAGACAGTAAGGGTGGGGAGGAAAGATGAAAGCGTACCATGGAAAGCGGATACAGTGGTTAACAGAAGTTATAACACATCGATCACATCCCATCCCTTTCCCCCATGCCTTGGAAAATGGAAATGTCACAATGGAAACTGGTCCACTTTGGATCAAGTCAAGAATATGCTTAGCAAGATACAGACTACAGGGGCTCATTCCAGATCATGTTAGGTCAGGAAGCTGGCTTTCGAGGTCAAGGAAAGCTGAACAAACAAGTTCGTATTAAAAAAAAAAAAACAGTTCAGTAGAGTCTCACTTATCTGACTTTCACCCTCTTTTCCTCCAGCATTTCCCCTTCGATTAAAGGAGCGCTCCCCAACTCTCTCTCCATTCCCAATAAGTGAAAAAGGTAAGACAACAAGGAGGGAGGGAGGAAAGGGGGAAAAGAGGCAGGACTGGAAGTAGGAACGTCCTCCCTCCTTCCCTCTGTGATTTCCACACTCCTCTTCCACATCCGGGCACTTCCTGCTGGGCAGCTCTAGCCCCGAAGCATTGCCTTGTCTTAATCCTTTGAATCCCTGATGTTAGTATTCTAGGTATCTAGAGCCGTGTCGGACACGTAACAGTAGGAGACTCCGAATTATCCGACATTTTCGTTTATCTGACATGGTGCCGGCCCGTATATGTTAGATAAGCAAGACTCTACTGTATTCCTTTAATCAATTAAGTGTGTGTTTTTTAAAGAACTAAGGTTCACTCCACTCTCCAAAAGATGATTTTGGGAAATTAAATACATCAAACTGGAGAGCTATCCTTATCTTCTTTAATTAAGCAGAGCTGAAAAAGGGATACTGTTTACCTTTAAAATATTTTGGAGCACATTTCATAACATGGTTGTTACAGAGAGTTTCATTGAGAATAGAGGAAAAGAAAGGTCTGGCAAGTGAATCACTTGGTATCATCACTAGCTGGCTAGTCTTTCTATGCCAATCCAATCGCAGTTTGGGAAGAGGATGGAGGGAATGCAAGAAGTCACATTACCTTCGTGGGCACAGCAAGGGCAGAAGGAGAGAGGTCTACGGCGTGGTGTCCCCGCATTGGGCTCAACTTCAAATAGGACCAAAGATGGGAGAGGAAGAAGGGAAGGGGAGAGGAAGTTGGAAGTGGAGAGGAAGAAAGGAGGAGAAACAGGGTGAAAATAAACAGACAAGCAAAAGGACAAAAAGCACAAGAGTGAGAAAGAAAGGAAACAACAAGAAGAAAGTAGAAAAGAAAATAATAATACAAGAAATGGAGAAGCAGAAACAAAGGGAACAGTCTACAGATGGAGTATCCCTTGTCAACATGAATGGAGAAGAGTAGACTGTGGCAGCACTGGGAGGGAACAAAGTGTGAGCCACAGAAGTTACTGGGCCAAAGGAAAAAAAAATCCAAGATTTGACATTTCTTATGTCAACTTTTAATCTTAGATGTGGTATTGTATAAGTAAGAGATTAATGTACCAAGAGGAAGGTGAATAATATTAGATCTCTAACAAACCAAGGCAGTAAACAAGTTTTGAAAGGTCACAATTAAAATTAACATAGTTTGTGAAATTTCACACATACGATGTGTGTTTTTGATGAATGTGATTTCTTATGATAGTACCCAAAGAAACGGAGCTACTAAAAACCCTTATCAGAAAATAAAGGCATGATGAAAACAACATATTTTACATGTTAAACATACTTAATGAGTTCCAAAGATTCATTTCTTCTGACAGAAACATTTTTTTCCATTCACCCATTATGATGGCAGGCAAAGGAGATTGGGATTGTTAAATTAAGAGTTTGGTCAACGAATGTGACATCTCAGCCAACAGAGTTCCTCTCTTGCACGTAAAAGCTCTAAACTTCTTGACTTCTGGCATCATGGAGGTGAAACCATCAGAGAGCTTTGTACATCATTCAGAAGGTGAAACAGCTTTGTTCATAATTTCACACTTTTCATTTTCACATGAAGGGCAAACAGGTTCTAAGCATAAATTCTGTTGATACTTTATCACATAGATTTTTCATATTCCCAGCAGTTCTTATGTGCTTTCAAGTTGGCTCCAACTTGTAACAATCCTATAACAGGTTTTTCTTGACAAGATTTATTCAGATGAGGTTTACCATTGTTGTCCTCTAACGCTGAAGGAGCATGACTTGTCCAAGGTCATTCAGTGGACATTTGTAGCTGAGCTGGGATCTGAATCCTGGTCTCCCACAGTCTGTCCAACGCACAAACCAATATACCATACTGGTTCTCTCCATTGATGAGTGAAGACAGAAAATGGAGTAATGTGCTCCACTGAAATGTTTTCCCGCCAAATGAAGTGTCGGTGTATGCCGCTAATATATAAACCATAGTAAACCAACATTTCCCAAACCTTTTTCCTGCAAACATGAAATGGGATACATACCTCTCACTCTATTTATTCAAAAGCAGCTTTCCCCAACTTTGGTCCAAAGCTGGTACTGAACTACAATTCCTATTACAATTCCCAGTTTGGGTTGACCATAGGCCACCCTAACTGGGGTTGATAAAAGCTGCTCAAATATTTTCAGTACATTGATAAGATAATCTGTTACTGTGGAGCCTACCTTATGGTACTGTTTATTCTAAGCATCCTCATGAATTGCAGAATGCAAAACTAGAATGGTAATTCAGGCACAGGGCAGAAATTTCCCTAGGTATGTATTTTCAGCTTATACTAGTCATTGATCATTCATTTAATTTGTGAAATTGTGGTGTATATTATATGTAAAGAGATGAAACATCATTTTAAAATGGAGTATGGTCCATTGTAAGTATAATGGACCATACTGGAAAGGCCATTTTGTCATAAAGACGCACAGGAACCAAAGTTATGAAAAAAGGGCATCCATACCCTATTAGACTTGAGTGTACATGTACATATAGATGGATAAGAGAATTTACAATTCTAATTTATGAAAACATATACGTTTTAGGAAAGAAAGAACTTTTAAGAGGGACCATCACAGAACTAGAGCACAACACACAGGACAGACCAAAATTAAAGGCAGAAGGTGCACCAGTTTGCAAAGTGTGTGAATAATACCCATATGATTCTCTCAGGCAAGAACAGTGTTAAAAACAGAAGAAGTGAGTAAACTGTGGACTATATATATTACTAAGTACCAACCCGGCGATTGAAAGGTGTACCTGCAAATGTAA